ATTCATTTTCATATATTTGTGCTCTCTAGAACTGATGTAAGTGTGTGATTCAAAGAAAACGACATATTATAACAGTCTGAGATCTTGTCAATATGCAACGGTAAAGAGTGAAGGTTTATCCTAAATGAGCACTTGCAGAAAAAAGACACCATCAGACAACTAATTAGACATTTTTTAAACTTTTAGTTGGGATAAACAGTAACAGTTGATATGACCGACTGATAGCAGTGTTTGTCATTTTAACAGGTAAAACTGCAATTTGATTGTCAATAATTTATACACATGAGTAGTGCCCTTTATCTAAATTATGCATTTGAGCATTGAAAACAATCTCTCATCAGGCCTTCAGTCTTTGTCTAAAAATTATACAAATAAGCTGATTTTACCAGTTAAAACAATAAAAACTGAATTTCTACTGCGCTGTTGTTCCAAGAACATGCAGGTATTGTCCTCAGTTGACTGCCAACCTGTCAGATGGCTCATTTAACATTTGGCAGTAACAAATTTGAAAGAAACTACCATTGATGTTTTTATCCAGTAAAACACTGATTTCTCGCTTCTTCCAACTATACTCACTACACAGTTTTCAGTTTGTATCACACAGGGAGGATTTTAGACATGTATTCAGCCAAGGATGACTAAAATGCCCTAACTCAAGATTCATTAGTGTCTATATTTTGTACCGAAGGTCCTTCATTTCCTCTTCAACCTGCATAAACAAATGACATGCAGAAGACTGACAGAATTTTTGTTTATATAATAGAATAATATAAAGTTAAATTAAGTAGTCATTTCATTTTTGAAAAGATTTATATTCAAGGATTTTTATACGGACTAAGACGGAGTGTACACATTATCTTTTCTTTTTGTCCCAGAAAGCCAGCATAGTTTTTCAATTGTTCACAATTGGATCGCCTCATACTTATACAATGCTAAAAGTGCCAGGCACTTGAGGCAGTGAGCTTCTAATCTGCAGTGAGGAATGCGTGGTCGGCTGTTCACCTCACCCCCCAAAGCTAAAGAGATTCATCTCTGGGTAAAAAACTGTTTGTCACAGTCCCTTCTTTACACAGCCATCCATTTACAGAGGCTGATGGGACCAGTAACACACCAGCAACTACCACATTTTACTTGTACAAGTGCTAACAACAGTGGAGAAAGTTAATCCTGTTGGTTTTTGAGTACCTGAGCTAATGGAATTTTAAATACAGTCTAAGAATTGTTTTAATACTTGGATAAAAATCCTTTGCAGTCATTTAATCCCTAAAGTCTAGAGCTCTTGGACACCCTTGGTTTCCTCTCTTCAGATGCTCTGTTAGGCCTTTACTACAGCTGCCTTCAGTTGCTGCTGGTTTGTGGGTCTCTCTGCATTCAGTTTGGTGTTTAGTAACTGAAAAGCATCGTCTGTTGAGTTAAGATCAGCTAACTGGCTTGGCCATTGAAGACTATCCCATTTCACTGCCTTGAGAAAGACAGTGTTGTTTATGCAGTTTGCTTTAGGTCATTCGGGTCATTATCCATTTGCACCATGAAATGCTGTCCACTCAGTTTTGCAGCAATTGGCTGAATCTTAGCAGTGAGTAAAGCTCTGTATATTTTTACACAATTAATCCTGCCACTTCTATTAGCAATAAACACTAATCACCTGGTTCCCCTGGCAGCCATACATGCCCATATCATAACACTGTCTCCACCATGTTTGACAGATAATGTAGTATGCTTCAGATCATAAGCTGTTTCTCTCCCTATCCATAATTTTACCAGCTATATCAGACGTTTCCTGACAAAGTCTAGTCTGACCCGCCTATTCTTGTGTGTAAACCCTCTGTAACTCCTTGGAAATGTTCCTGACTTGAATAGGGGTTGTAAAGTTTTTTTTTTCTTAAACAAGGAAATAATTCTGCGATCATCCACCTTAGTTGTCTTCTGTGGTCATTCGGGTCCTTTGGTGCTGAGCTGAGCTGAGCTGAGCTGGTCAGTGGATTCATTCTGTGATTTGTGTTACTCTACAAAAACGTATGGACCTAAATGTAGGTAATGCTTGGTCAACTACATTGAGCTACAACCAGACTCAAGCAACAGATTACTATTATTAGTTATGGAAAAAACAGTGCACCTACAATTTATTTAACTAGTTCAAAAGAATGCATGATATCTTTAGTTAATGTGAAAAAAGTCAAGCCTTGGATGGCACAAGCACACAAGTGTAAATGTCATTAAACCGTAGAGTCTTGGTTTAAAGCCCTGTGAGCTCTAGCAGTTATACAGGGATTAAAGTGGGCCTGAACAATCTGGAACAACGTTCTGACACCTTTGATTAATGAGTAATTAAATAGGCAGTTTAACACTAAATACTATCAGGCAAGTTCATTTTTTATTTGATACAGTCCGGCAGTGCTTTCAACTGTTGTCACAGAGACAGTAAAATCATGACTCCGGCTGCATGCCTCCTCTTTTCCTTCTTATCCGTGTCATGCACTCATGCTGTCGATGTCAATAAAGTTTCTGTTGCCGTATATCAGCATCTATCTACCTCTACTGAAGAGGAGGGAGCATAACCGTGCAACTTTTTCTTTAAGTGGCAGGTTATCTCAGATACAGGATTTGAAACAGCTCAACAAATATTAGTGAACACACAAACTGTTTTTGTGCATCTTGGTGCACAATCTGTCTGCTAGCTTAAGGTACAAAGGCTCTGTTTTCCAGGGAGAAAAAAAAAAACACTGACATGGGATAATTTTACTCTCAGAGATAGAGAAAGATAGAGGAAGAAAATATAACAGCAGAAGCTGACAGATCATATTTAAAGGTAAGGACTGCTCTGCAAGTGATGTTTAATAAAATAGATATTTAAAGTTAAACAAATTAATTGTGTTGGATTGCTTTGAATCGGACAGTGGATCTGTATATGATGAAGTTATCTAGTTATATTAGAAGCACTTTCAAATATGTTTTTCAATGAGAAAAGGTTACACTCCACATCCATTATATGTCCCAACAATTTACATTTAAGGGAAACTGTACATTAACAATATTTGTTTTACTATCTTACATTATGTTGAATTGAATTGGCATCAACATTTAACCAAACATTATCATTGCATTAATTAAAATATTGTTGAAAGCTGAATGTCATTAATAAGGTGACTCTCAATTAATTTTCAGAGAAACAGCTTTATTATCAAAGACAGCTAAGCTGAGCTGTCATATAAATGGTACATGGCCTGTATTTGTATAGCGTTTTACACATCCAGTCATCCACCCATTCACACACACATTCACACACTGGTGATGGCAAGCTACATTGTAGCCACAGCCACCCTGGGGCGCACTGACAGAGGCGATATGGTCAGGATTTTAAGTTATGCTCCTTTTTAGGCTGCCGTTTCCCTCCGTAGGTTTTATGGCGGCGACAGAGCACGCTTACGAAGGCTCTTACTCTTGTATTTGCTCATCAACAAATCTTTTGTGAATTATAATTTGAAGACATGGGTCATCATTCAGCCTGTATAGCCACGTATAAACTGTTTACATCTCAGTGCTGTAATATAAAACAACCATAACACCTGTGTTTGATTCATGACTATAACATTTAAATTGAGCAAATACAAACATGGTTTACTGGTTCTACGATTTCAATTGTAGGAACAAATTACTTGAAGCTTGCCTTAATAATCTTTTAACATTCAATTACATACAGGCCATTATGTTATATCAGTATTATGATACAGTAATACTATCTAAATATGTTAAACCATCAAACAACATTATGTTATTAGTATGAGGTTTCTACAAGTTTAATGTCAGTATTAGTAAAAATATGCAAACATTTTAGTGCTACCATATGTTATCAATATACTGCTGTACTACAGCTACTGGACAGTAATAGAAATCTAGATCTTTATTTCATATTGGAAAATATCTTTGAAAGCAGATTAAATCATAGATTTAATGTTATTCAAATGCCGTATTGGACAGTATGTGCAGAATAAACTGGGTAAACTGGGCTGTTTGCAGTGTTCTTTTACAGTTTACAGTTATGCTGAACTGGTGCAGGGCAAACTGTGGTATCCATGTTCATTACCATGGTCTATACTTATAAGATCAGACCAGAGATCCTTTGCATACAGTTTTTATTTTTTCTTGACTATGAAAATTAAGGTTAATTCAGACACTGCTTTAAAATAACCATCCAAATAAAGCAAAAGATCGCTGCTGAGTAACAGGACTCGGCTAGGAGTCAGTTTGCATTTAGCTGATGATATTCTTTGGTAACACTTGCCAAATTCCACATTTATACCAGCTTCATAGTGGCTAGCAATCAGACATCTGCCTTGATGGCTCGTATAACATCTGCTTGTATATTGTAGAATGTAGATGGCTAAATTCAGAATGAGTAGGAAACCTCAAAAGCAGCATCAGACCAGGTCAGCTGATCACAGCCGGTTTAAAAACAAAGCACATGTACTGGAGCTCATAAAATATATTATTATATGATTTATTGCAGAGTGAGTCATTTCTCCAGACTGCACTGCTTCACCAGAACTTAGTATTCTCTCACCTGCAAAATCCCACTTTAACCCCTGCTTATACAGACAGGCTCATTAGAATGAAAATATTTTTAAAAGCCACATTAGTGCCATCTTTTACTGTCAAAATGTCAATAGTTCACAGTGTATGTGCATAAGGAAGAACAACATCATAGTGAGCTAGAAAGCCCTGTAGATAAAGAAAATCCAAATAATGCAGAACTGTAGTGAAGAAGTCAAGTGTAAAAGCAAGGCTCCAGAATAACCATCTTTAAACCAGATAAGCTCATTTCTTATTAATAACAGTCAAAGTAATAATTAATCATGACATCAGAAGTCTGTAGTTACAAGTTTGACAGTGCTTGTCTCAGTACATTCAGCTTGGAGAGGTGGTGTCTGGGATATAAATTTCTATGAATCACAGTCTCTGCATGTTAAATAGATAAAACAAATCAATCTACTGGAACTTACCATCAAACTTTTTATGCCTGGAGACAAATGTTGTTCTCATTTTGTGGCTGCTCTCCTCAACCAATTTCTCAAACTCCAGTTTGCTCTGCTGGTTAAGTTTGTCCTCCATCTCTGACGTGCAGCAGGTGTATCCCTGAGGACAGACACGCAGGTGCTCACCTGAGGAAGACAGAGAGGTAGAGCGGCATTTGTACACACGTCACCGCCTCGACATTCAGATGCTCGAAAAGGCTGAACCGAGTCTTTGATCAAAATTCTCTTGTTATTTTGTCATTCTCATCACTGAGGCAATGAAAGTGGGCCAGACCGTGACAAACGGGGTAGGAAAACATTTGTCGGTCATTTGGAATCATGAATCAGAGAGTGTCTGTGATAGCACAGCTCCTACACCTCATATAGAATTCCCCTTATATCACAAAGCACTGCAATGATGACTGCTTTAATGAATATTATGTACATGAAATGAAAGGCACAGTGCTAAGTCATGTCAAGGAAATTTATTTATATATCCTAATACCACAAATTGGTCTCAAGGCTCTTACCAACATGCCCTTAGCTATGACATCAGCCAAACATTTAATTAAACTGCATGGATTAATTTACGATGTCTTGACTTTGGCACAGCAAGCTGTAAATGAACACTGACATATTTTTGCCATGGAAACAATTGCTTATTTACACATTCACTACATACCGAACAACATTAACATTCATTTCATTCATTCAAAAACTGGAATGAAGTATTTGTCTTTTTGGCTGCCAAATGCTCCATCATGTTCACCAGCTCGTTACTAACTGTGCGTGTTTGCTCTTTTGTTCAGAGCACGAAGGCTACAATGAACTTATCATAACTTTTTAGTTTTCCTAAAAACAACTTTGCTGCAAAGATGAGACCAAAACAATATAAAGTTGCTAGACTGAGAGATGAGACTATTGTTTTACAGTTTACAGCGATCAACTGTGTTGCACAGATGCACTGGTATCCATGGTCACTGTTAGGTGCCGGGGAGCATCAGAGGCATTATAAGAGGCTGACAAGCCAGCGAAAGATATCAGATGTGACTGTGTATTGTGTGCGTCTGTGCAGTTTTTATTTCCCACAGTCCATTAAAATGAAAGTTAATTTTGGAAGAGCTGAAAAACTCACACCATATTCTGCATATCACAAAAATAAAATTTAATATAAATGTTTCAATTTCTCAATATTTCTTTTTACATTATATCTCATGCACTCTGGTGCAATGTTGCTGGCATAAGAACAACATTTAAAAATATTTATTTAAATTTTATTTTTTAAATTTTATTTATTTTGCCACCTGATTACAGTGATATTAACTCAACGACAGCAGCATTTCTTTTTGCCTTGCTCGCTTACTTTTTAACTTTCTACACTGGGAACAAAATTACACAGCAACTTTTAGAAGAATGTCGAGGTATCAGTGAGAGTGAGTTAAGAAATACTTGTTGTAGTCCCTTTAAGAAGAAAATAAGAGATGCTGTGCGTGCGTTTTGTAATGAGATGTTTTACAGAGCCTTGGACTCTCGTCTCCTTCTACATAATTTGATTTTGAAGTATTAATTTAATAAAGTGTGAAGTGTTTGACTATTACATCAGTTAGAGAAACATTCTCGAGTCCACTCAGACGTCAGTGTATAAAAGTGTAAACCGAACCAATGAACCGACTCTAAGATCCACAAAGAGAAATACTGGAACTGAAGGCCTGAAGAATTTTCAAAAATTGTAGAATTCACATTCGATTTTTTTGTAAAAATTAGTAAAAGTTTTACTTTACTGGGTTTCGACAAAGGTAACAATCACTTAATTATGCCACACATCTGAAAATCCTTTCACTGAAAAAGTGAGGGGTTTAGTCTCAGATCTGTGGATTGTTCTTGGTGAATAGAGTAGTTTTCAAAAATACTGATTTACTTAAAGGGATGAGGAAAATGATTCTGATGAAATCAATAAATTATATCTACAGCCATAATGCGCAACACTATCTGCAGAAACCCGGTTTAACCAAAAGACCATAAAATGAGGTTTATTTATTCCAATAATTAATCATTAAGGAAAATATGTTTAGTCTAAACTAAATGTATCAGTCAAGTATATTCAATATCACCAGACTTCAAATTTGACATTTTACTTGCATATCAAACTTATATGAATAATCTACAAGTAATTATGTTAACTGATGTTAGCATTTGGGGCATAAAAAGGACCAAGCCAGAATTAATTTTCCAGTTAATAAATTAAATATAAAACCAGATCCACCGAAAAAAACAAACACATTGTTTGCCAAAATCCGAAACGAATGCTTAAATGCAAACAGAGGCTTTAATCAGTAAAAGTGACTAAGAGCTCCATGTGAGTGGTGTGTACATCTTTATTATTTTTTGCACAGCTAATGAAAAGAAGTTTGTACTTTCATACTACTACCCATTTTAAGAAGTTTTACCATTACTAATAAGCTAAAATGTAAAATAAAACTTAAAAATGTACCTTAAACTTTGATACAGTCGGAAAAGTGTTGCTAAATTCCAAAATCAAGGCTTTTTTTTAATAAAAACAAAAATTCTTATTAAGTTGTGGTTTTTAGGAAAGTTTAATTGTTATAAGGGGGAAAAAAAGTCCTCCCACACAAGCAAAAGCTCAGCATCTTAGTTTCTGTCAAACACTTAAACTGGTCCGAATGTGAGTTTTCATCTGGTTGTCTTCCTGCAACAACACACACCAGCAGTTAATATCACATGATTATATTAGTTTTTTTGCCCAAGAAATATTTGGGCAATTTTTTTTGGAAAAAAATTACGGTAATGCATACTGTATGTAATTTTTTTCTGCATGCATGCGGTATTTTATTTCCTCTTCTACAGAGAACATCAGACATCATTATTAGTTTTTTTTTGTCTGGCCAGCAGTCACATAAAATATTTGTGTTTTTCCCATTCTATCTATTAACATTTGGGAAAGATGAAATGAGTATCGATTTATCAGTGGAGGACAGAACAGAGAGATTGTAGGATTTCCTCTGAGGAACACAATGCAGGCACTGGCAGGCACACTGACGCCCTGCATGCATATACAGTAAGCTGCAGATAAAGGAGCTGTGTATAGATAATGAAACAAGAAGATGCAATATGTACGTGCTGGCACTCTCAAATGTGCTTAATCCTTAATCAGTCCTTAGAGAGGCACCAAGCTACAGTAATGAGGTGCACCATCAACAGTTCAACACAAACTTGTTTCTCCAGAGTAATGCACAAGGCTCCGAGCCACAGCATCCAAACTCTACAACACAAAATAAGCTGAAATGCACCACTCACTTTCTATTAGGCGATTCCTTAAGGCTTTTTTGTTTCTTTACTAAGCAGCAATGTCCTATTTTTTAACAAAGTAACAGCTGCAGATAACGTCCAGTACATTGGAATTCAATCAAGCGCATGCATATGGATTGAATCTACAGGCTGGCGACCTGTCCAGGGTGTACTCTGCCTCTTGTCCAATGATAACTGGGGCAGGTTCACGAGGGAAATAGATGGATGGAAAGTTAATTAGTACAAATACATTAACCTGTACATTTTACAGTAACTTGCTGAAAGCCGGATGCCAGTAACTAACTGTAAAAAAGGATTTACAGGAACTTTAATTTACAGCAAATAAAGCTGCTGTAATTTAATTTACAGTAAAAGTAAACACTTTTAACAGTAAGTTGCTAGTATCCAGCTGCCAGTAAGTGCATGCATTTTTTATATATGGTATTTTGTTACAATATTTAAATTTAAATTGCTATAGTTTTTATTTATTTATTTATTTATTTTAGCTCAAACAATAAAAATGCATATTGTTTAAACAGGGACAGTATTAAACTGAGGAGCTAAGGAATTATGAAGATGGTATCAGATGGCTGGCTAATGTCCCAAAGAAAGAAAAAGCCATGCACCATATTTGGCACCTTAAATTACACGAGCATGAAACACTACTCTAGGATGACTTAGACACAGAAATATAAACTTTTATTGTCATAAATGATGAATAAGCTGAGGAAAATTGCATTTTCTCCACACTGTTATGTGAAGCTCTGTGACTCTGAAGTAAGTCAAATTCAATCTGAAGTTTCCGTTGATGCAATAAATGAATTTTACTTGTCGATGCAGGTAGAATACTACTTTTGGCCACTAAAGCGTTTTTTAAAAAAAAGAAAGGAAAAAAAAGAAAAAAAATCAATAACAGACAAAGCTGTCCTTAAGTGTGAATGACAGCTGAAAGGAATCCATGGTGCTTTTAGCTTTCATAGGCTGTGCACCACTCTATTCATCTCTCAGTCGTGTTTTGGTATAAACACATAATTTGACATATCCAACTACTTTCCTGTTTTGAAAACTGTTGTCGTAAACCAACATAAAATAGAAGTTTGTGAGAAGCAGGCACGGGCGTGAGCTGCATGTTTATGATGCTGCTACTTTGAGTTTATCTCACATGTTTTCCCTTCTCTCTTTCATCAAAAGCCCGGTTCAACACTTTAAGCATAAAACTTTATTGCACATTTTCCTAATATGTTTGTGTGTGTGTGTGTTTGTGTGTGTGTGTGTGCTCTTTTCCAAAAGAAAAAAAAGCAAACATAAAAGCCTACCTTAGTGAACTTTGGAGGTAATTGTCCCCAAATCTAGATGGGATTTTGGCTCACTAGACCATATCTGTCCTGTTTTAGCTGGTTGCTTTGGACCCGAGATGGAATTTGAAACCATGCTGTCAATATGCTGCACACTTGCGAGATCACACTTGTGCAGTCTCTGTCAGGGAGAGTTAAACTTGTAAGACTCAATACCAGCAGTGCCAACAAAAATGAAGACATGGGGGGTGGACACAACAAAAAGACAGGGATGGCAAAAACCACAAAGGTTCTTCTTATAAAAGTATATTTACTAGGTGAATAACAGGAACTAATGTGCCTACTTAGCTGGCAACAGCTCACTGACACCCACTTTCCACCTTTCTCAAAGCTGTAAGATACTGTATAGCTTTACAGCGCTTATATAAATTAGTCTGGCCATTTGTAGCTAAACATTTAAATGAATCTTTTAATAAAAAAAAGAAGAGCACTTCATGCGCTGTGACATTTATAATAAAGCAACATTATGTTTATCTAACATAGCTA